CCGTCCCCCCCGGCTCCCCTTGCCCCCTGCAAAGGGCGATGCTGCCCTGCATTTGCTTCCGCCCCACCCTGGGGCAGCTGTGAAGCAGGGAAGGGGTTAAGGAGGTGGGGAGGAGGAGGAGGATGAAGCTGTAGCAGGGATCAGGCCCTTGTCTCTGGCCTTGCAATTAGCCACTCTGTTTTGCTGCGGAGGGTCTGCTTGAATAATTTAGCTGGGAGGCTCATTAACCAGGCTCTGGCCTTCGTCTGCCAGCTGAAGGCTGAAACAGCCATTAGGAGGAACACGTGCCGCAGACCGGCACAGCCTCTTCTCCCTCTCCTTCTCCCTCTCCCTCTCCCTCTCCTTCTATTTTCTTCTCCCTCTCCCTCTCCTTGCTCCCTGCTCCCTGACTCTGCTGCTCTTGGCTCTCCTGTCATCTGCTTGCTCCCTCTCCAGCCTGCCCCAGGGACTTCAGCATGTGTGCAAGCCCCGTGCCTCAGTTTCCAATCTGTAGACTGCAGTAGGCTGCTGCAGCTGGAGCTCATGGCATCCCCCAGAAAGCTTTTCTAGCAAAACCCATCATTATTTTCTGACCATGGGTTCTGCTGTGCACTGCCAAGCCAGGATACAGGCAGCCCACCCTGGCAGTCCGTGCTCACGTCAAACCAGCTGCGTTGACCCTCTCCAGAGGGCACAGTCAGGCTGCTGTTTCCCATCAGGATCCTGCTCTGGTCCTACATGCATCCCCAAGCATGTTACGCCAGTGAGGCCTGGGCTGCGCCTCAACAGTGCCGAGGAGACCTCCAGGAGACCAGCAGCTCTGCAGGGCTGTGTGCCATGTGGGGGATTTGCACAGACATGGCTGCAGGGTTGTCCCATTTTGCATTGATGTCTTGAGCCTTTGGCATCGTCCTGGTGCTGCCAGCTCACCGGTGCAGTGAGGGCACCCTTAGCTGGCTCGCTGCATCCTTTACTTCTCTGGCATGGTATGCAGAGGTGTGTTAGGTTGGTGCATGGCTTCCCTGCATCAACATCAGTATGGGCAGCTCCATAGCAAGACATGGTGCATGCATGGTGCAGTGGGACTTATTTGCCCTTGCAGCCCTCGGGAAAGGAGTTTCCCAGCCTGGGGGTGCTCCCTGAATTCTTGCATCACTGCATCCTGTTTTGCATCTCATTTTCAGTAACAGCCATGGGTAAGGCATCTGCCTCAGCAGCAGGGAGAAGGGAGGTTAGCCATGAGGTGGGGAGTGCTGTCGGGACCGCAGTGGGGTGGTGAGCAGCGATGTTTGTGCTGAGGCTGCCAGGTGTGCTAGGTTTGTTTCAAAACCTCTGCTTGGAGAGAAGAGTGTGTCCTGGGACATCCTGGGTGGATGCATGGGGACATCCAGCCCAGGGAGTGTGTTTTATGGCAAGGTACTGTGCCAAGGTCCTGTAGTTAGATCCAAACGCTGGTCTTAGCAATGCAAATGTCCAGGTACCGAGAGGAATTGACTTCAGTGTCAGTTCAGATAAGATTTTTACCAAGCTACAGGGGCAAAATTTATCAGCTGAAAGGTATCACATCTCATCCTCCCACATGCACCAGCCCTCGGCATTTTGCAGAGTCTTCCTGCAGCTCTGGCTGTGCTCCCGCAAAGAGCACAGAGTGCACATAGGTCCGGCAAAGCCAAGTGCAGTGTGAACACTTGGTTGGGTTTAAAATCCTCTTCTGCCTCTAACCTCTAGGACCAGCTGACAAGGCCAGAGGAAGGCTGCTCCTCACTGCATGCTCTTGTCTTATATCCAGTTGCCTCCATGTCTATTGGGAGGCAGGGCCCTGGGATGGGATGGGGTGGGATGGGATGGGGTCGGGTGGGATGGGATGGGATGGTCTGCCCCGCTGCTGAAAGCGTTTACACCGTCAGTCCTCCTGCAGAGGTGAATTTTCTCTGCTGGTTTCACGTTGTTCCTCCTCATCTTGCCATTAGCAGTCCTTCTTCCTCCCTTGGAGGACCTCTTGTCTTTTGGAGGATCATCCCTCAACAAGTTTATCACTCCCCTGGGACGCGGCAGAGAAAGCCATGAGCACTGTAGCTTAATGGGGTCAAGAGAGCAGCACCTCCTCCCCATCAGTGACATCTCTGTCACAGCCTTGAAGACAATTTCCCCCAGTACCTGCCAGCCTCCTCTGCCACTCCATCTCTCGTTAGAGCTAGTGAGCTGCCAGGGGAGAAGGTGAGCTACTGTGCACAGTCCAAAGCAAGGTCTCATGGGGGACCTCAGCAGCAGACATAGGACAAAGGCCCCCAGATGCTTCAAGCAGCTGATAAACACAGACCCGTCTCCCCTTGAAAACTGTGTACCTTCCCTGGGAGCTGGCAGCAGCTGAGAGTGGAGGGCTATCCCCTTGTTCAGGACCTGGTGATAACCCCGCCTCAATGGGTAATGGCTCTTTCTCTTGCCCTGGCAGCCCCCCCGAAGGAGCCAGTGCTGATGTGCCGGTCCAACAACTACCCGAAGGGTTTCTACTGCAGCTGGCACCTGCCTACTCCCACCTACATCCCCAACTCCTTCAACATCTCCGTCATGTAAGTGCCCAGGAAAGAAGGGTGCAGTGGGGTGAGCTTTTGTCCCTGCAGCCTGGAGCAGGTCCCAAGTAGTGCCATGAAGTCTTGGGGCAGTGGGTCTGACCTGTGCTGAGCATATGCGATCAGTGTCCCAAAAATGGGCCTGGGAAAAGATGCTCCAGGGACATCCAAACTGGATGCTTGGCACTGGGGCTTTGTCCCAGGAAAGTCCCAATTTCCCCAGAGGGGACCAGGAAAGTCCCCAGCTCCCAGGTCCCCTTTCCATGCCCCCCAAGTCCATCCTCTCTGCACCACTTGCCCACAGTGAAAGTTGTGCCCCCTGTTTTTCAGTGCATTTGGCACAGCCATGCTCCCTTCTGCCATACACTGGCTGTGGCCGGGCAGCAGCAGTGTCCCTCACCTAGAACTGGCCATGGCATGGCATTGTCCCCCACCCTGTGCCCAAATCCTGGCACAGCCCTTATACAGGCTGGTGCCATGCATTACCTTCTGGGGCTTGTGTCACCAGCAGAAAGGAGACCCTGTCCCTCTCACAGGAGGGACAGAGAAAACCCCAGCCCCAGCAGGGTCTCATGCTTTCCTTGGGGCCAGCATGAGGACATTCACCGCAGTCTCTCTGTGGGTTTAGGATAAAACATCACACACATGAGCCTGCAAAATTCTCTGGCAGAAGGAAGGCAGCCCTTTGGCTGCGGCAGGGGCTGGTGCATGGGGACCGTGGGCAGAGCAGGGACGCAGCGCTGCTCCTTCTGCCTCCTGCCTGCAGCAGCATGGGTGCATCCCCACCCCGAGCACTGCTCTGCAGGTAACAGCTCTTCTCGCCTCTGCTTTCCAGACACGGCACGAGAGAGATGGTCTGTGAGAAGGACGCCTTTCCCAAAAACAGGTGTCACACCAGATACCTCCAGCTCTTCTCGACGGTGAAGTACAAGGTGACTCTGACAGTCACGAATGCTCTGGGCAAAAACTCCACCACTGTCACCTTTGACGAGTTCGCCATAGGTAACTTCCACGGCAGCAAATGGCCTCTCCGAGACGGTGTTGGGGTTGGCTTGTTCTGCACGCAGCATCGCCCTCCGGATTGATGGGTCAGGGAAGGGGCATGGTCTCCAAGTGGAGCCTCTGCGTATCCATGCATGAGATGGAGCCAGGGTTTGAGCCATGCTGGCATCCTCCCCGTGCCTTGCTGACTCTCATGGCCCTGCTGTAACTGATGCCGGCACCTGAGCATCCTGGGGGAGCCAGGCAGGATGCCCGCAGGTGGTCCCCATGATGGTCCCATCAGTGCCGTGCCTGGTCCTGTCTGCAGTGGTCCAGGTCTCCCATGGTTGCTGAGCTCCTCCCTGCTTGGGGGCTGGGGAAGCAGCTGCCATGTGCTGGGGCAGAGGGCTGTGAAACTGGTGTGGTCGAAATGGCATTGGTTTTCTTGCCCCTGTGAGTGTTCCTAAAAGAGAGGTTTGGTGTTTGTGCTGGAAGCAGAGTGATGGAAATTAGGATTTGAAGCAAAATTAAAACGTCCCATCCTCTTCCCCCCAACCCTAGTCAGGATAAAGCCCTCCCAAAGTCATCCACCACAGCCCTTACCTAACATGTTCCTAAAAACCTTGCTCCCCGCTTTGCCCCTCTTCACTGCCCCACCCAGGCAGTGGATGCTGTGTAGTGTGGGACAGGGAGCAGCGGGACCTGGGGGCCTGGGTGTCCGTGCTGCTGGCTGTGCCACAGGGATGCTCCCCAACCTGTCTGGACCTGTGGTGTGGATGCTCCTCTGACTGTGGAAGAACCAGCATGGACCGAGCAATTCAGTGCCAAGCACAGCAAAGCTGGGAGCTGGGCACAGTGCTTTTGCCACCAACCAAAGCCGGATTACAGCTGGTGCCGTGACAAGACTGTCCATCCTCAAAGAGCAGAAAAATGGGAGAGAATAGAGTTCAGGAACACATTGAAGAACAATTTGCTGGTTACATGTGGCAATTACTGGAGCAGAAAAACAAATAAATGAATCCTTGAATTGCAGCCAGCAGTCAGTCTTTGCCTTCGATGCACTACATGTCCTAGTCCTGAGTATCTGGAAGTGCCAGAGTGCAAGCTGAGGAGCTGCACTGCTATCCCAGATTTTCCCTTTCTACCCCAAATCCTGGAAAAGATCAAATGAGAAACAAGGTGCCAGCTCTGAACAGAGCAGGGAAATTATTTTGGAGTGGGGACTGTCCTGCCATGTCTCTGCAGCTGCAGTCCATATCTGAAGCTCGTTTTTGTTGGTGCATTGTGAACGTTGATAACAAGGCAAAGAGCTTAGCAGAGAAGTGGTGGAGTTTCAGTCACTTGGGTGCCTTGCATTCCCTCCTGCAGGAGTTCAGGGCATCATCCTGTAAAATCTGCATCCCACCCATGCCCTGCCTGGCTTCCCAAACATCTGGTCCTCCGTCCAGCACACAAGGGCAACCCGCTTGGGAAGCACATTCAGCTGCAAGCCCTGAGCATCCCAGCACCAGCACAAGCTGGATCCAGCCCAGCAGTTTGAACTCAGCCCAGGTTGGAGGAGTGGTGAGCAGAGGCCAGTGCTGCCCCAGGCCAACCATTAGCATGGGTGCAATATCGCTTCCTCTTGCAAGAGTGCCCGGAGTGGTGCAGGGTGCCTGGCCACATGCCGGTGGTTGTGGTGGGAGGTGAGACCCCTCCAGCACCACCCGACAGATGCTCTAACACCCTCAGGGATGGCACTCAAGAAAGGGACAATGGGCCGGTGCTGATAGGAAGGGCTGTATCCTGCACCCCAGAGCCAGCCCACTCCCATAAACACTTCAGTATCTAGTGATCTTAAAATCTCCATGTTCTGTACAGGATAACAGAATGGTGGTGCTTGAGTGTTCAAGCAGGCAGTCAACAGGCTTAGCATGGTGATTACAGGATGAACTCAGCTGCTGATGATCGACAGCCACCTACCCTGAACGGAGCTTCTTCTTGTGCCATCCCGGTGTTTCCAATTAAAAGAAGTACACTGCGTTAGTGTATTTTGCCAGGCAATTTTGCCCCAGGTTACCTGCTTTCCTTGCAGAACCTTCTGCATTTCAGTGTCTCTTCTGGCTCTCTTCTCTGCAGCTGAAAGCCCGGGGCTGTGTCCCAGCATGGTGGGTGCTGGCAGTGTGGATCTAGCACCCAGTAGGTTCCCTGGGGATCTCACTAGCATCATCTGGGCTGAGATCTCATCTTGGAAGTTGTGCTGGGTTTTGCTCTGCTAGATGGAGGGGTGGAAAAACCTATGGCTCAGGACAAAGCCATTGCCTCGGCTCATTGGAAAA